AGAGAGAGAGAGAGAGAGAGAGAATGAAAAAAGGATGAAGGCAAAATGGATTACTCCTTTGTACTTTGATCATCCCTGAATGTGATAGTATTAGAATATCTCAAGCACTTGTAACAATCAAATCCCACCTAGGAGCACTTGTTCTAAAANAACTTTTAGTATTGGAGGCCGTTTCATTGGAACATATCGCAGTTCAATTTTGCTGAAGAATGTAGAGGATTGCTGTGAATTATTAGTATGAAATATGTTATGCGATGGAACAATAATTGTGTTTGTGTTTTTATTTTTGTCAATGTGTAAGTGTTTGTATGTCACATTGTATCAAGATTGTGTATTTGCGAGCGGCACTGTGTGTATATTTTTTTGTTGATTAATGTGTGTTTATTTTGGTGTAAGTTTGTGTGTGTATTTTGATATAATAATATGTGTGTGTGTATTTTGGTGTAATAGTATGTATGTGCGTGTATGCGTGTCTTTTGGTGTAGCAGTGTGTGTATTTTGGTGTAATATTGTGTGTGTGTATTTTGGTGTAATAGTGTATGTGTATTTATATATTTTGATGTAGCAGTGTGTGTTTATTTTGGTGTAGTAGTATGTGTGTTTATTTTGGTGTAATTGTGTGTGTGTGCGTAATTTATGGGTTAATAGGTTTAACTCAACTCATTATCACCCATTTATTACGTGAGTAAAAAATGGATTTGATTTATTTTAAATCCAATCCAATTTAACCCAATCTATAACCAATCCAACTCACCCATTTGTCACGTCTATCCACTTGTAATGAGTGATATGCAAACTAAATGGACAATAGTCTTTTTGGGATCAAGATCCCTTCAATACATTTATTCTTTAATTTAATTCTTGACTTATTGTTCACTAGTAATGAATGACGGATCCCACTTGTATATGATGAATCTCACTTGAATGAATGATATATTACCCGCAAAGAAAAAAATTGAAGAACAAATACATTGGAGAAGACCACATTTCGTCTTTTTGGACCCAATTAAATCCTAGAAAACAAATTGAGGCCATAATCTATGATAGTATTATGGTAACGGGAAGAAAAAAAATCGGTACCAAAGTGAAAATCAATCCTCAATTGTAGATCTTAGTTTGAGTTATTTATATTAATTGGAAGTTGAAATAATAAAGATTGGCAAAGGAACATCCACAGAGAGAGAGAGAGAGAGAGAGAGAATGAAAAAAGGATGAAGGCAAAATGGATTACTCCTTTGTACTTTGATCATCCCTGAATGTGATAGTATTAGAATATCTCAAGCACTTGTAACAATCAAATCCCACCTAGGAGCACTTGTTCTAAAACCTTCGTTTGCTAGCGTGAGATTAACGGAAAGTGCGGGAAAGAAAAAAGAATCTTAATTCCTTGATATTTTTTAAACATTCTAATGCTAAAAAATACTATAAATTAAATTCTTGGCCCAACAAAATTTTCTATGAGCTGCAATTCTTATTTTCTACATATTGTGTAGGAAAATAATATTTTTTTCCATGAAAGTAGAAGAGGAATATCTAACTTTTCACTTTGCCCATACTTCCTCCCACGTTGATCATTATCTATTGCATATAAATCTCTCTACTATAGATAAAGGTAATATTGACATTTACAAAAAAAATTGTAATTTTCCTACTTTTCAAATTATAGAAAGAAAATTTTTAAAAATTTACTTATATATATTTCACGCTAGCCAAATATATGCAAGATTATTACTTTCTTTTCTTTTAATTTACTTTCTATTATTTTCACTTTTTATTATTATTTTTTTTCTAAACAAACGGACTCCACTATTTTTCTGCCTCAATCTCATAATTTTTTATGTTGAGTAATAAAAAAAAATATGATCATGGTACAGACTATACTTGTGGGTTGGGTTGAAAACTTTTGGAATGTCCCAGAAGAGTCCGTACCATGGGCTATGAGACGACAAAATATTAATATTGAATATTCAAATATACCGTTCATATTCAAATTTTAAATTCATTATATTTTATAAAATATAATTTTAATTTACTATTCCTGTTTACTTTGAACTCCATCAACAAAATATTAATATTGAATATTAATATTTAAAAAATAACAATAGTAACATACTTAACAAAGACAGTAATATGGTCACTAAAAAAATAGTAACATGCTCACAAAAAAATAGTTACATGGTAAAAAAACAATAACAATTAGAGATTTAATTCTGTCAAAGTGAGCACTAAACTTTGTAACCAAGATTCAAGAAAACTCATACATTAGTACCAAATTAAAGTGTTATAAATTTCAATTTTATTGATTTTTTTGTTGCGCAAGACAATCGAGTATTCTTTGGTTATGTTATTGTAGAAAAAATTCATGTTACAGTACGTGAACCGAAAAATAGAGTTCAGAATTTTGATGTCTTGATGTTCACAATTGATGTTGAGTGTCATAATTCAACTGTCTATTGTGTGTTAGTACTTGTCACTTTGTAAATTTTTAATTTGTGGAACATATTTTCATTAAAATCATTCAAAAGTTAATGTTACTGTAAAAAAACTAGTGTCTTGTATTTTGTAAAGTTAAATGTGTTATTGACCACAAAACTTTGATGTTATTATGAATATTAAAATATATGTTACATAATATACATTTCAAGATTTATAATTGTATGTTAAAATTCACTATAGTAACATTAGTGTCAATATAGTAACACGATTGTATTGGTAACACGATCCTAATTTTAACTTCAATCATATAGTAACATGAATGTTACTATATATTAACATTCGTGTTACTAAACTCTATTGGTGTTGTTCAGCCTTCCTATATTATGTATTATAGTTGTTAAAGAAATTTTATAATTTGATTTTGATTTAATAGACCAAAAATTTATTCGTACATTAAGCTTCTCATATATAACTATCATAATATATAAGTTCTATATAAAATTTTCGCAAATTATCATAATATTTAATAAACGGTTTTCATAAATAACTCAATCAAGGATTTCCATATATACCTCAATGATTTAACTTGTGTAACTTTTCATAACTGGACAAAACTAACACCGTTATGAGTAATTTTGAGATTTAAAAAATAAGTGTACTTAAGTACCTACATATAAGTTTAAATATGAATTTATCCCCAAATAAGTTTTCTTCCAAGACTCAAGTCATTATAAGTTCATCTAGGGAGACTCACCCTCAATTTTCATTTTTTTAAGTGTTTTTGGGGTGCGAGTACATTTTTTTTGAAAAAAGGTGTATGAATAAATATTTTACTCTATTAAGTTCAATTTTAATAAAACATCTTGTGATTAGGTACAAAATTCAAATGACATTTAAATTTTTTTACTTACTTATCATTCCTTAAATTATGTATAATTTGTATTCTCTCCATTTCTATCTCTCCCAGATTTTCTCTTTCTCTCACTCTTTCCCCTATTTTCTCTCACCGTTACTATTTCTCTTTATTTTCTCTCTCTCATTCTCTCTCCTATTTTCTCTCATTATTACGCTTTCTCCTTATTTTTTTTTCTCTCTTTATATCAACGTTACAACAACACAATTACACGAATCAGTTACTTCAATCACTTATAATTGCACTCTATAATACACTAAATAGTTACTTATGTGTTATAATATATCAAACAGTTACAACAAATAATTACACAAATTATGACTCCAATCCAATTTGTCATTCAGTTGTTTACATAAATCACAAAGTTATATAATTTAGTATCACGAAATGATTACACCAATTATATATAGGGGTGTCCATAGCCTGGGTCATGCCTAGGTAGTCTATGCTCAAACCTTTATCCAAATGAATTATAGGACGGAGTGGACCGGACTTTTGGTAGGTGTAGGATACCCGCAACCCAACCCACAAGCCTATTGGGTGGGTTTATGGGCGAACCTTCTGGGCGAGCTTGTTGTGTGAACTTGTTCGTGGGCTTTTTTATACACAAATTCATTTAAAAATAATGAATATTTTTGTAACTTAATATTTGTGTAAATTATTTTTTTGAATCAAAAGTAGAGTCAAAATAGATAAAAATAAAATAATAAATAATTTTAATATCTATCATTTTCATCATTTTATTATCTATCATTTTCATTATTTTCATTAATAAATAACTTTCTCACTTATCTATCATTTTCATTATTCTACCCTTTAAAACTTGTATGTTTAATATATGAAAAAAAATATTAATATATTAATTATAGTATTTAAATTTTTAAAATTTTAAATTTCTACATCAGGAGATTTATTTCAAAATTTCAAATTGAATAGTCTAAAAGTATAACTTTTTTTTTAAAGGAAGGGTGGTTGGGGTTGTGCGGATTGGGCTTGGCGAGCTAGCTCTTGGGCCGAATTTTAACTGGTGTGTTTCGGCCAGGCTATTGGGTCAGGGTAATGTGTTGAGGAGTAAATTAAGCCCTCTTTTTAAGGATATTTGGCTCCGACTCAAGCGGGCCAATTATAGGGCTTACTAGGTTTCGGGCTGAGTAACGAGACCCGTGGGTAACTTGGCCCATGGACACCCCTACCCACATATCCTTGGCTTGGCTATGAAAAATGGGATGATATTTTTATTGTGATTAAAAAAATCATCTGTAGTGTTTGAAGCCATTTATCCTCCCTAAGCAGGATAGCTGGAACTAATGAGAAGTGTGGGATTGTGAAGTTAGTAGGTAGGATTAAGTGTGAAATTACGAAAAAGAAAAAACCCTCCACAGTGATTTTTCTAGGTTTTTATCTACTCTCTCTTTTACTTTCATTTTCACCTTTTGGTTTCCCTCTATTCCCTTTTCGTAAATGGTGCATTGCTTGGACCACCTCTCATCTACACCATGTTTGTTTCTCTCTCTCTCTCCCTCCCTCTCTCTTTGTCTGTGTGGCATGGACCTCAACAATAAGAATACATGATGTTGGATTAGTTATGATTTGCTTACAATTCTTTCTTTGTTTGTCTTTTTTTTTCGTACCTTCCTATTTAATGTTGGTGATGCCACTAGTTCAACCCAGTGGCAAAGGGCCTTTCCCAGCTTTTTCTTCTTCTCCATACTCAACTCTATTTCTTATTGGGATCCTCAGCCTTTGGCTTCGATGCTTTGTGGAAGATCCTCTCACAACCACCAATTTCCCAACAAGCGCTCACATGGAGGATGGAAAGGGCACTGGTGATTGCTTTGGAGCTTGGTTCCATGGAAAATTTGATGGGTTTGAGGCACTTGACCACTTTGCATAAGTTGGAGAATTGATAGAGTAGAATACTAAAAGCTTGCATTTTGTAGTGAAACTTGTTTTATTAATTAATAAAAGTTTGTTCTTTTCATTTTATTGAGAATCTACATGGGCAAAGTGTTTGCATTAAATTTAATACATGGTGTGTATATGTATCTTATATTTTACATTGTAGATAATCTGATGTGTAGAGTTCAGCTTATGCACAGAAGATCAGATTATCATATCTTTGTATAATATGAGTATAAGTTCACAATTCTAGATGGAATTGGACACACCATCAGTATGATTGTAGTGTAACATTGTAGCATAGTCTGTCTTGACTATAGGAGACTGTTTGATGTCTCGAATTATTGCACTAGTACACTTTGTGTATTGAACAGACCCATGTTGAGATTATTATCTTTTACTGATTTAATAAGATAATAAATACCTCATGATTATTATGATTATTTATGCTCTTAATCCTGAAATATTTAATTGTCATGTGCAAATAATGTTTGTCACTTTAATTCATTAAAGAGTGAGATTCATACTGAGTCAATAAACTCGGTGAATTAGGAGATAATGTTATTTGTACGGTGAAAATTAATTATTAAAGAAAATCACGTCTTACTATTTAAATAGGTTGACGATGTCCTCTTGATGAATCTCATAAGTTTTATCTATGTCAAATCTTACAGGTGGATTTAATTATCCAACATGACAAATAAGTTGAGTGGTAAGGTCTCAAGGAATAAAAGAAGTCAATTAAATATAATTGTCAGTAATTTATTTAAATGATGAATATCTGTAATTTTAAATGTGGGGAGATTATTAAACATATAATAATAACAAGCTCGAATATAATTTTGAGATAAGGCTCAAGAGATCAATAATAAGTTTTTAGTGGACTAACTTATTATTAATGAGATGTAGGATGTTTGTTCTGGGTTGAACATAGAAATCCTAGGCGTATTAGAAGTTCAGTCCTTATTTCTTCTTAGGGTTTTTATCGTAGCTTATATATAGACATTTAGACTCTCTAAATCAACATCAATTCATTACTCACATGTTAAACGAGGCTGATAAAGAGAGAATAAAAGTTTGGAGGTTCTTGCAACCCACAATGCAGCCAGATTTTTGGCGTTTGTGGATATACGATAGNTGAACGAGGCTGATGAAGAGAGAATAAAAGTTTGGAGGTTCTTGCAACCCACAATGCATCCAGATTTTTGGCGTTTGGGGATATACGATAGAAGATTGTGAGCTTCAGCGAGCTACCTTCTATGTTTGTCTTTTGGTTTTTACGTTTGTGCTGAGACGAGATCAAACCAAAGCGATCTCGAAGGTAAATCCTAATTTCTCTTTGTAGGGTTTTGAAAGGATAATTTTTTTTTTTTTTTTGTATTTGATACGTATGCGTTGTCAAAGATTCCTAGAATTTTTGTTCCAATACTTGGGAAACTGGTGGCTGTGAGAGGATCTTCCACAAAGCATCGAAGCTGAAGGTTGAGGATCCCAATAAGAGAGAGAGATGAGTATGGAGGAAAAGAAAAGGCTAGGAAAGGCTCTCGCCACTAGGTTGAACTAGAGGCATCATCAACATTAACAGACAGGTAAGAAAAAAAAAGGATTGACAAAGAAAGATTTGTAAGCAAATCATAACTAATCCAACATCAAGTATTCTTATTGTCGAGGTCCATACCACACAGACGGGGAGAGAGAGAGAGAGAGAGAGAGAGAGAGAGAGAGAGAGAGAGAGAGAGAGAAACATGGTGTAGATGAGAGGTGGTCCAAGCAATGCACTGTTTACAAAAGGGAAGAGAGGGAGACTGGTGGGTGAAAATGAAAGTAAAAGATATAGTAGATAAAAACCTAGAAAAATCATTGTGGAGAATTTTTTTTTCATAATTTCACACTTAGTCCTACCCACTAACTTCATAATCCCACACTTCTCATGAGTTCTAGCTATCCTACTTAGGGAGGATAAATGACTTCCAACACTATGGACGATTTTTTTAATCACAACAAAAATCTCATCCCATTTTTCATTGCCAAGCCACGTATTCAGTAGGGGTGTCCATGGACGGGGTTACCCACTTATTCCGTTACTCGGCCTGAAAAAAAATAGGCCCGAAACCAGATAATTGACTCACTCGAGGCCGAGCCCAAATCCTTAAAAAGAAGGCTTGAGTTTGCTCTCAAATTCATTACCCGACCCAATAGCCAGGCCGAAACAAACCCGTTAAAACCCGGCCCAAGAGCCCACTTGCCAAGCCCAGCCCACCCACACAGCCTATGCCACCATTCTTTTAAAAAAAAGTTTTACTTTTAAACCATTAAATATGAAATTTTGAATTAAGTCTCATAATTGCAGAATTTAAAATTTTAAAAATTTAGATACTATAAATAATGTATTTTTTTTTTTCATATATTAAACATACAAGTTTTAAAGGGTAAAATAATGCAAATGATAGATACATGAGTAGGTATTAATCTAGTTGAGATGTATTCATTCTGTTAGGTGTAGTTCATCCCCTAATCAAAAATAAAATTATTCATTATTTTATTTTTATCTATTTTGACTTTACTTTTTGATTCAAAAATATAATTTACACAAATATTAAGTTACAAAAATATTCATTATTTTTAAATGAAGTTGTGTATAAAAAAACTCATGAGCAAGTTCGCCAAGTAAGCCTGCCCAAAAACTTCGCCCACAAGCCCACCTAATAGGCTTTCAGGTTAGGCTGTAGATATCTTACCCTTACCCAAAGCCCAACCTGTCCTGCCAATAATTCACTTAGGTAAGGACTTGAGCCTAGACTACTTAGGCCCAATTCAAAAAAAATTCGCTGACCTAGCCCAGCTCAGCCCATGGACACCCCTATATGTGGGCTCCTTTCATAATTTTAACTCAAACCCCCAGTAATCTCTCCAAATCCGGCCATTCAAACACCCTCAAGAGGTTAGTTTATAAACAGCTCAATCACCTAATAAATCTCTCATGTAGGGTAGATTAATAGTTTGAATATCTCACGAATCGTAATTCTTTTTTATCACTGCCCATAAATTTATTCCTCGCGTAGAGAGACAGTTTTACACACTAGGTCGACCATTGGCCCACTGCGCGAGCTAAAAAATACTGCGGTAATCTATTTGAAAAACTGAAAAGAAAAAAAATACCAGAAACTTTTAAACTCAACCGAGTTTGAAACCCGGTAGCCGAGCTGACAAGCCAACTCAGTCAAATCGTGGCTCGTTCATTGTATGTGTGCTCACTTGCAGACTCATTTTCTGTCATACGCATTTCTCAGTCTCTCACTTCAGCAATCTCATCTACACTGACCCACATGGACTTCATCCCAGCTCCATCTTCTATAACACAGCAAACGCTCCAAAACCCACTTATCAAATCAAGGTAAATCTCTCTCTCTCTCTCGCTCGCTCTCTGCCTAGAACACAGATATGCACAACATATACATCAGTTCAACTCTAACACTTGGGTGCAAAGAGTCTCTTTCTTTTTCAATCAATGAGTATTCGAACTGTTTGAATGATAGATTTGATAGACACCCATTGCCATTATCATCATGTTCATCGTCATGTTGTGCTTGTTGTGCAAATTCTACGTATAGAGTGCCCACATGCCCTAGCTCCTTATATGGCTTGAGACAATCTACTTTAATTCACTGGTCACCATGTAAAAGATTGATTTTGGGTGGTGTGGATCGGTGTTATACCCGGTTTCCGGTATGTGATATTGATCCAAACTGCTATGAGAAGTCTTACTCTTTTAAGAAGAGAAGTGTTTGTGGAAGAAAAGGGAGGTGGGGAAAGGGTAGATATGGCTGTGTGATTTTTGAGGGTAAGAGTGAAAGGGACCATCTGACTGATGTTGATGAGGCTGAGGTTTTGCTTAGCTTGTTGAGTGAGGAGGTGGGTGAGGAGTGCTTTGGTGTTAGAAGGAGAAATGGCAGGTTATCTAGAAGAGTTCAAGTGGAGAAAAAAGAGCATGGTAGTTGTTCTAGAAATAAGGTGAAAAATGCTGATTCCGGTGTTTTGGAGAGTACTTCAAAACTTGACTATGAATTGCAAGTGGATAAGAGAGGGAATGGTGGTGGTACTTGTTACATTGCCAAAAAGAAAATTGAGGACTCTGGTGATTTGAAGAGCAATTTGAAGTGTGAGTATGTACCTGTTATGCATAAATCTAGGGAGGAGGATAAGGGATGGAAAGAAGATAGAAGGGAAGAAGAGAAGGAACACTTTTTGAGAGTTGAGAATCAAAAGGCTACGGTGAGGAAAGAAGGATCGAGTTGCTCATCTTATTATTCCTTTTCTTCATTGGGTGAACGGGAGAGTGATAATGAAATTGAGGGTAAACATGAAGGATATGTGGAAGAATCATCAAGTGGGCATAGAAGGAATTCGAAAAGGAATGGCGAAATTACATGTGATGAGAAAGTTGCGGTGGAGCTTGAGAGGTATGGTGATTATGCAGAGGAACATGGGTTTGCATTGAAAAGAAAAAATACTCCTTTAGGGTTGTATGCAGCATCAAGTGGCGTTGAGTGTGATTGGAGAAAAAAGTCAGAGAAGAAGCTTGCCGAAGTATCAAGTGAAGAAACTAGGCCTTTGAAGGAATCATCACAAAAGCAATCCGGATTTTTTGAGGTCCATGCCTCTGGTTCACACAGGCGAAATAATAGTAGGGAAGGAAGATCCAATATGGCTGTGAAGATTGAAGAAAGACCAAGACCGCATTATAGTGAAACAGGTGACCAAATCACTGGACAATTTGAAACAAGAAGGAACTACAAACAATTTAAAGAGGTGTCGGAGATCCATGACAATGCTGTAGAAACAACTTCTGGCTCCCTAAAGCGGTATAGCAGCAGAAATGAAGACTTGGCTGTATCCGTGAATTCGCTTCAGGATTCAAGAGGGGAACATCATAAAACAGCTGGCCGCAGTACCAGACAAGGTGAATATGGAAGGAATTCCCGGCAAAGGGCTGATGTGATGGAAAGCCAAGAAATCAATATCAGAGGGACCACTGCTTCACAGAGACGGTCAGAAAGTGCTATAAATAAGCCGGAGAAGACCTCAACAAGGATTATAAGTTTGGTTGATGATAAAGAAGAGCAGCACCACCGGGTGGGTCAAGCGGTCACAAGACAGATTGACTCAAGAATGAATAGTCAAGAAAGATATTCTACTACGGGGATGAAATCAGCTGAGGAAACCAAGGAAGGCCCTAATATAACTGATGAAAAAGTACTGCAAATTGGGTCAAGGGAAGAGGCTCAAAAGTCTAGTGAAGTGCTGAGTTTTCACCTGGGCCTGTCACAAGAGACATCTAGTTGCCAAGCATCTCCAAAATCAAACATCCAACCTAGGGTTCAACCAATTAGTGTGGTGGAGGGGGACAAGATAAGCTCTCAGGTAATAATGATGCCACCATCATCTCAATTGGTAGCAAGAGATCAACTGCATATCAAGGTAAGTGAATTTGCAACGCAAGAGGTTTCAAGTGGAAATCTAGAAAATGCTTCTATTTCTTTACATGGGCGCGCACAAGAGATTTCTCCAGTTTTGCAGCATGAAAACAATGGTGAGATTCATGGGGAACCCCTAAACTTCATCAATCAAGCAGATTCTCTTGGTTCAGCTGATCGGTTTCAGCAATCGTCTGTGCACTTGGTTGATGAGTTTGTTGAGAAGGTAAGACAAGAAGTTTCAACTTCAGAAATCCAAAAGGAGCAGAAAACTTATGAAACAAAGCTGGTGTACAATGATGATCAATGTAAACAAAATGAATTGACTCAATATGCTTCTGGAGATTATCAACCAAAAGACCATGAGTCGAGGCGTTCATCTCAGAGTTCTGGTACAAAGGGGCCTTCAGATGACATGTGGGATGTAACTGATCCATCTATTCAGGAGCCAACCAAGACAGAAGTACCAGAGGGTACTACTACTAAAGCTGCGAATATTGTTGTCAAGAGAAGTGGCAGGTCCTGGTGGAATATCATTACAGATGTAGTTCGCTTGCAGTGGGCATCACATTCTGAAACCCATAGTTCAGCTTTAAAGTCAGGTGGAAGGAGTTCATCGAATAAGTCTACAAGTAGCGAGGCATGGTTTTCTGGTCATGATCCGGATGAAAACAACGGTGAGAATGTGAAAAGTGGAGGGAGAAGCATGTCACAAAACCCCACTACTGATCAGCTACAACTAGGAAGAATTCAAACTCAAAGTCTAGAGGTTTCGAGCTCATCGAGTTCGAAGGACAAAAGAAAGTATGTAGGAGTGGATTCACTATCCTCCTCAAGTATCTTGGAGAGTGGCTTTGCATCTGAAGGCATTTCTCTGCCTTCCAGTAAAGAAATCTTCGGAAAGAACTCTGAAGGTACCTCCTCTGACACTGCAATAGCAGAAACTTCATTTCCATTGCCTGTTGTAAGCATAAGAAGGTCTCCTGTTGGAGAAGAAATTTCAGTGGCTGGTAAAACTGATGCATCTGGCAGTAGCACAATGGTGCAGCCTGAGCGACCTGTTTTTACTGGTTTGACAGAAGTATCTGGAACTGAGGGTGCAGATGGGGAAGTGAGGCGAAGGAAACTTCAAAGAAACAATCAAGTCCTGAAAAATAGATTTGATGAATGGGAGGAAGCATATAAACTCGAAGCTGAGCAGCGGACAGTTGATGAAATGTTTATGAGGGAAGCATTGTTGGAAGCCAAAAAGGCTGCTGACAGCTGGGAGGTGCCTGTTGGGGCTGTTCTGGTGCAAAATGGAAAAATTATTGCTCGTGGATGTAACCTGTAAGTTGTAGTAGCTTATTCTGTTTTGTTGTTTTGAATGGATGCCTTTGCTTTTTTAAATTTGAAGTGTATGTATTCCAGAGTAGAAGAGTTACGCGACTCCACTGCCCATGCGGAAATGATTTGTATACGAGAAGCTTCAAACATACTTCAGACATGGAGGCTTTCGGTAATTTCTGTGTTTATGCTTGAGCCTTGTTTCAAAATTGATTTAACCTATATCTTTTTGCTTATCTTCTATTTGTTATTATTTGGAGCACCAGTTTTTTAGTTGCTATAGTTCCCCTGGAAAATCCTAACTTTTAGTGCTTTCTTTCTCCAAGCATGCTGGAATTTTGTGGTGTTTGAATTAACGTAGGATTTCTCTTTGGGCCATTCTGTACCATAGCCTTTGTTTACGGTAATAACAACTGCATCAGCCACAACATAGATAGACATATGTATGTGTATGTATATTTATACTTATAAATTATTATATTTATATACTTGCAGTGATCTCACCTTGTGATTCTCTGATTCAATGAACACTACCAATTTTGGTTGTTTTTAGGTCATGTGATTCTGTATGATGAGTTCCGTGTTTTGACCTAATATGCAATGGTCTTTTCATTCAGGCGACTACACTTTATGTGANGACATATGTATGTGTATGTATATTTATACTTATATATTATTATATTTATATACTTGCAGTGATCTCACCTTGTGATTCTCTGATTCAATGAACACTACCAATTTTGATTGTTTTTAGGTCATGTGATTCTGTATGATGAGTTCTGTGTTTTGACCTAATATGCAATGGTCTTTTCATTCAGGCGACTACACTTTATGTGACACTTGAACCATGTCCTATGTGTGCTGGAGCAATACTTCAAGCTAGGATAGACACTGTTGTATGGGGAGCCCCCAATAAGCTCCTAGGAGCTGATGGCAGCTGGATTAGGTAAGCCATCTAAAATGATGATTTTTTTTTTCCGCTTCCGTGGGAAGAAAAAATCAGAATTTTCATTATAGGTTTTGCTTGATAAAAGTTGAGTTGTTTGATAGTGGTCTTATTTATATCATGAATGGTGATGACCATATTTGTCACATAATTATAGTTGCACTGTGTAGTTGTTAAAGCAAAAGATACCAGAGTTGGTTTATGGAATCGGATTGGTGGCTGAACTAATCAAATCAAGTAGGAGATTTATGTCATGTTATTGATGCATATAGAACTGACTTCTAACCATATTACATCGATAGTAATGTTGGCTTCTCAGGATACGTTGCTGTATACATTTTATTGTTGAAGTGGTTGGCTTGAAAATAGGATTTGCTGTGTGTTTCATATAATTGGAGAGAGTCGCATGAGGATTGGGGTCTTGTTCCATGTGCACGACCCTTGCTGTTCCCTGACCTTACCGGCTTGCGCGAAGCACATCTCCAAAGCAACTGATGTGCTGTCCATGAAGCCTTATCAAGTCTCATTATGCCATGACGAACTCGTAGTGAAAAGGGTTTAAGTCTGGTTAATCTTCTAAATAATGAAATTTGTTGATGGGCCCCAAAAATCTTGTGTCATTGTATGGCATGAACTGGAGTCTCAGTTAACCATACATTTATCAGATTTTTCTGTTTCACAACTCACTTATGACCGAATTCCCATGATATTGTTCAAACGGTCTGGCCAGGAACAGATTTAAATTGACTTAACGTCAAATTGATGCTTTTCCTATTTTGGTTTCTGTTTGAGTGGAATGACATTAGCAAAACTGGTTTTTAGACAAGTTGAACTTTACCACTAGAGACATATTCTAGGCGGATGTATTTTTCCACTCTTTATCGAACAGCGGTTTCTATGAGATTTCTACTCTTACATGTTTATCATTTTGGTGTCCTGTTAACAATCATTTGCAGGCTTTTCCCCAGTGGGGATGGAGGAAATGGCTCGGAACTGACAGAAAAGTCTGCTGCTCCAGTCCACCCGTTCCACCCAAATATTACGATTCGACGAGGAGTGTTGGCTTCAGAGTGTGCAGATGCAATGCAGCAGTTCTTCCAACTAAGGAGGAAGAGGGATAAGAAACCAGAACCACCATCACCACCTTCATGCCTTCCTATTTCAAACCATCATTCAAAGTTCTTCACCAAGATGCATGATGCTTTCCACATGATGTTCTGTTTGTAGCTGATCAGACATTGGACAATTTTTCATGCTTCAGAATTGTTTTGAGAAATGAAACTGCCTTTTGGTCTTAGTTGAGTTGAACTCCAATGTACAACTGTGTTCCTTTTTTTTTTTTTTTTCCGGGTTCACGGAATAAGTTTGCTGCATATTAATCACATGTAACAAATAGGCTTTGTTGATAAATCATGATTGTAGGAAGTGTTGAATGGGGCACGACTGTCCCTCTAAGTTCAATTCTTCATTTTTCATTGCATTTATGTTATAATCAATAGTCTGTATGATGAGGCTGTTTACATATCGAATGATGATGAATTTAGCATGGTCCAATAGCAATGCTGTCCAGCAACTGAAAAAATGGGAAACAATCCTTTGAAGGCAAAGGAAATTCTTGGAGAGTTTGTGGCATTGCTTTTTCTTGAATTTGATTGGACTGGATACCAAAGGTTTAGGTATTTTGTCAAGATCAGTTCATCTATTGAAATCAACAGAGTTGACCATTGCAGTTTGGTGGGGTTTGTTAATATTACTATTGGCTTCACAATCCTCTCAGATTTTGTTTCACTTATCATTAAAAAAAATATTATGCATATGTATATATAGAAAATCGTGATCAAAGAAGGAATGGATCATAGTCTTTGTGGGTATTTTTTCGTGTTAACTGTAAGCTCATGATCGTGCTACTACATAGATACGTATTTATTGACTCATTATCGCTGGTGGTCAGGCGAAAAAAGCTCATAAAGCAACACTGCAGTAAGTTTAATCATACAAAGAGATAATTGCATACAGATAATCCACTGGGATTGTGGTTTAACACAGTCACACATCTTCCAAATCTTCCAAGTTACTGTTTACTTTAGCATTCTAACCCCTTTCCAAATAACAAGGTTTGCCAGTGTTGTCTGGAATCTGGATAATGTTTTCACTATCATAGCAAAATNGAGATTGTGGTTTAACACAGTCACACATCTTCCAAATCTTCCAAGTTACTGTTTACTTTAGCATTCTAACCCCTTTCCAAATAATAAGGTTTGCCAGTGTTGTCTGGAATCTGGATAATGTTTTCACTATCATAGCAAAATATGATTTTCACCATAAATCATTACACCAGTCACATTCTCATCGAAGGAAAAAATGGAGGTACGATAGCAATACCCTATCCGGACAATGTGGAATACATGCTTCTGTTTTACTTTCCTGTGGTGTAAGCAATCATGTTCACATGCATTTAGTGCACATACCATTACTCTGTTTATGGGGATTGTGTTGTCCTGGAAGTGTTTACTGCCCAAAATAGCTGGTTAGAGACTGAAAGCGACAGATGACCAATACAATTGCTTGTGAAAAAAATGAGAGAATTGCAAGTTTTGATGNATACCATTACTCTGTTTATGGGGATTGTGTTGTCCTGGAAGTGTTTACTGCCCAAAATAGCTGGTTAGAGACTGAAAGCAACAGATGACCAATACAATTGCTTGTGAAAAAAATGAGAGAATTGCAAGTTTTGATGGCCAACTTAAGAAGCCCATTTAGCCAACTAAACTAAGATCTCACTATGACAAACCATGAGAGTGTCTGTAGCAGTCCACTGAAAAATTCATTTCACCAAACCTATTTCACTTTTATAATGTCCTGAACCCAATAATTGTGTATATATATAAGTACAATTTACAAATTGTTCCAACCAATTCTACTCCAACAAAATGGTTTCAATNAGATCTCACTATGACAAACCATGAGAGTGTCTGTAGCAGTCCACTGAAAAATCCATTTCACCAAACCTATTTCACTTTTATAATGTCCTGAACCCAATAATTGTGTATATATGTAAGTACAATTTACAAATTGTTCCAACCAATTCTACTCCAACAAAATGGTTTCAATCCCATGGGCTGCCATTGTCTGTCTCTGCCTTCTGCTAGTAATTGCCAATGCCCAAGCACCGGCGGCTTCACCTTCTAATGTGCCAACTCCAACACCACCACCACCACCTTCTACCCCACCAACTGCATCAACACAGCCACCCACAGCTGCAGCAGCTTCACCTCAAACTCCACCATCTTTGAGCCCAACCGTACCACCCCCTCAAATCCCACCTCCACAAAGCTCACCCATTTCAAGTCCATCACAACCACCTGCATTGCCACCACCACCAATTATTTCACCACCAGCACCTCCACCACAAATTTCACCAACTCCAGTGCAACAGCCACCTGCACCAGTGCCCTCATTACCAAAGGTGTCACCAGCACCAGCTCCGGTTATGGAGTCACCAACCCCAGCAACAGTATTAGGGCCATCCCCTGCACCAGTTCCTGGCAAGCACAAGAGGCATCATGCCCCAGCACCAGCACCAACTGTCCCAAGCCCTCCTGCACCACCAACAGTTACAGATTCTGAGGAAACAACACCAGCACCATCACCATCACCAAATCTAGATTTGGTAATTTGTCTGTTACTTTCTGTTTTCCACAGTTTGATATCTGATATAATTCATCAAGTATACAAAATTACCCAAAGTTTCTTTTTTGCAGTAAATATTAGTCTCCTAAAGTTACTGAACACCTTATTTTCATTGCAGAGTAAAGGAGTTTCATCAATGCAGCTGAAAGGAATATCTATAATGTGGGTGAACGCTGGATTCGCTGTCATTGTTCTACTGGCTGTCAAAGGCTAGAAATCCACATTGAAATGTATATTTATATAGCTTACAACTTACAAGAAGACATGATTTTAGCAAGGGGCCGACTATTTATACGCACAGAGAAGAATAATCCAAGAGATGATCCAAGATACTGTAAAAATTTGTCAGTTTGATTATCACACGAACCAATATTCATTATTACAATGTAATGAAGGTGCATTTTTTGAACTATAACTGCCCCCACTGCACAATAGATTACAATAACTAAAGCCAAAAATACTAGAACAAACTCAGGTCAACTTGGATCCACATTTGAATGCATACTGAATGTCTCCCGGAAGTCGTACCACAAGCCCAAGATTGTCATATAATTTGTGATGCTGGAAACACCATGAACACTAATAAGAAACATCGGCAGTTGGTGAGGGTGTGTGCAATTTACTGTTCTGAGAACGGGACAATTTTTGTGTAAAGCACGAGACTCACTCAACTTGCAGTTGACTTGACTGGATGATGTCTTGGTTAACTAGGCCAAGAGACCCACCACCTTGCCCCGGGCTAACCCAAGTGAACATTCAAAAAATTTTCATACATTCATTCGTGAAGTTAACTCTAATGGGTTGAAAATCATATCAACGGGTCTTCGTCTTCCATCTTGCACGCTGGAATGGCAGTGGATTGAGAAAAAGCGGGATTCGTCTAACCTCGTTTCATTTGGATCCAAAATGGATTATATGTATTAAATAGTGAATGTATATGGGATACTCTTATAAACCTGTGCCAGATAGAGACGGGAATCGCTAGATTTTTATGGAGTCCGAATGAAAAGACACATCTTCCAGTCAAGAGGCATAACCACGGCCGACGACAACCCAGCCAGGTACCTCCCTCTCTCTCCAGCACAAGTCTACCTGTTTCCCTCTCCTTCTTCATATCACGCACGCACACACGCACAGAGATCACAGCCCACACACACAGTCACATAAAGCACGCGCACATAGTCTGCCCTCCATCGCTACACAGTCACACACTGCACAAATCACTGCTCTCCTCATCTCAGATTTGCTTTCCATCTCTGCTCGATCCCTATCTCTCAAGTTCAGATCCAACATCGATTTATATATATATGCATATTAGGGTAACCTGGGCGATCAGAATTGGGAATGATTTTGATACGACGATAATGATAGTCGAATGGGACATAAACTAGAATTCTGGAAGAAATTTTTTAAATGATGCCCTGTTAGTTTTAATAATGTATTTGATATGGTNAAGTTACTGAACACCTTATTTTCATTGCAGAGTAAAGGAGTTTCATCAATGCAGCTGAAAGGAATATCTATAATGTGGGTGAACGCTGGATTCGCTGTCATTGTTCTACTGGCTGTCAAAGGCTAGAAATCCACATTGAAATGTATATTTATATAGCTTACAACTTACAAGAAGACATGATTTTAGCAAGGGGCCGACTATTTATACGCACAGAGAAGAATAATCCAAGAGATGATCCAAGATACTGTAAAAATTTGTCAGTTTGATTATCACACGAACCAATATTCATTATTACAATGTAATGAAGGTGCATTTTTTGAACTATAACTGCCCCCACTGCACAATAGATTACAATAACTAAAGCCAAAAATACTAGAACAAACTCAGGTCAACTTGGATCCACATTTGAATGCATACTGAATGTCTCCCGGAAGTCGTACCACAAGCCCAAGATTGTCATATAATTTGTGATGCTGGAAACACCATGAACACTAATAAGAAACATCGGCAGTTGGTGAGGGTGTGTGCAATTTACTGTTCTGAGAACGGGACAATTTTTGTGTAAAGCACGAGACTCACTCAACTTGCAGTTGACTTGACTGGATGATGTCTTGGTTAACTAGGCCAAGAGACCCACCACCTTGCCCCGGGCTAACCCAAGTGAAAATTCAAAAAATTTTCATACATTCATTCGTGAAGTTAACTCTAATGGGTTGAAAATCATATCAACGGGTCTTCGTCTTCCATCTTGCACGCTGGAATGGCAGTGGATTGAGAAAAAGCGGGATTCGTCTAACCTCGTTTCATTTGGATCCAAAATGGATTATATGTATTAAATAGTGAATGTATATGGGATACTCTTATAAACCTGTGCCAGATAGAGACGGGAATCGCTAGATTTTTATGGAGTCCGAATGAAAAGACACATCTTCCAGTCAAGAGGCATAACCACGGCCGACGACAACCCAGCCAGGTACCTCCCTCTCTCTCCAGCACAAGTCTACCTGTTTCCCTCTCCTTCTTCATATCACGCTCGCACACACGCACAGAGATCACAGCCCACACACACAGTCACATAAAGCACGCGCACATAGTCTGCCCTCCATCGCTACACAGTCACACACTGCACAAATCACTGCTCTCCTCATCTCAGATTTGCTTTCCATCTCTGCTCGATCCCTATCTCTCTAGTTCAGATCCAACATCGATTTATATATATATATATATATATATATATGCATATTAGGGTAACCTGGGCGATCAGAATTGGGAATGATTTTGATACGACGATAATGATAGTCGAATGGGACATAAACTAGAATTCTGGAAGAAATTTTTTAAATGATGCCCTGTTAGTTTTAATAATGTATTTGATATGGTTCACTTATTCAAATATTAAATGTATTTATTGAAACATTATTTACTATTTGAGATTTAAAATCACTAATTAATTTTTTAATCTTAACTTTTTTTAACATAGCATTTCAATTGATTATACTACTCATCCATTCAATGTCTAATAGACGATGAAGTTTATCAACTAAGTTACAGAGATAAAATTTATCTAACTAATATTTTGATAAAATTTATCTATCAAGTTATAGAGATAAAATTTAATATTTTGATAAAATTTATCTGTGAAATCATAGAGATAAAATTTATTTAATTAATATTTTGAAAATCAAATATGTATGAAAGATAGAAAATATATGGATATAATTAATTTTATGGTAATAATTAAGGGTGAAAAAAATCAAAATTTTTTCACAAATATTGACATTTATAAATAGTATAAATATAAATATATCTATATAATAAAGTACAACGATTTTGAATTCAATAGACAAAAAATGACTTAGATAATTTCGAGACCAAAAAAGGCATTATCCAACGGCCAAAGATATTTCAAATTGTCTCAATTTATTGACGTCTCAGATCGTTTTGATCCGACGTACCATATTAGCTCTTTGAAATTTTTTGCCACTCAAAACTTTTAGTTTTCAAAACTAACATCCCTAAATTAATTTCCCAACCCAATCAAATTCGCCAATTAAGTGATCTCTCATTCTTCAACTCTGTCTCTCTCTCTCTCTCTCTCTCCCCATAAAATACAGATTACAACTCTTATCATTATTTTCCTGATTTTATTTCCTATTTTAAGGGATCACATTCTATACTGAGACATTAACTATCTCTTACACTCTTACTCCTGCAACAATAACTTTTGTCTCTGTTAATAGACTAAAATATCATCAATTCTTTTCCCATTATATATGTGCTAGACAGCCAACAAACGTAATTTCAATCATTATATTATTCCAATAAATTTTTTTATTTTATCAAGTTTTTATAATTTTTATATTTTTTAATCATAATAGTTTTTATAGTTAAAAATGGTTTTTCTATAATAAAAATTACAATCGATAAAGTTAANCAAGTTCAGATCCAACATCGATTTATATATATATGCATATTAGGGTAACCTGGGCGATCAGAATTGGGAATGATTTTGATACGACGATAATGATAGTCGAATGGGACATAAACTAGAATTCTGGAAGAAATTTTTTAAATGATGCCCTGTTAGTTTTAATAATGTATTTGATATGGTACACTTATTCAAATATTAAATGTATTTATTGAAACATTATTTACTATTTGAGATTTAAAATCACTAATTAATTTTTTAATCTTAACTTTTTTTAACATAGCATTTCAATTGATTATACTACTCATCCATTCAATGTCTAATAGACGATGAAGTTTATCAACTAAGTTACAGAGATAAAATTTATCTAACTAATATTTTGATAAAATTTATCTATCAAGTTATAGAGATAAAATTTAATATTTTGATAAAATTTATATGTGAAATCATAGAGATAAAATTTATTTAATTAATATTTTGAAAATCAAATATGTATGAAAGATAGAAAATATATGGATATAATTAATTTTATGGTAATAATTAAGGGTGAAAAAAATCAAAATTTTTTCACAAATATTGACATTTATAAATAGTATAAATATAGATATATCTATATAATAAAGTACAACGATTTTGAATTCAATAGACAAAAAGTGGCTTAGATAATTTCGAGACCAAAAAAGGCATTATCCAACGGCCAAAGATATTTCAAATTGTCTCAATTTATTGACGTCTCAGATCGTTTTGATCCGACGTACCATATTAGCTCTTTGAAATTTTTTGCCACTCAAAATTTTTAGTTTCCAAAACTAACATCCCTAAATTAATTTCTCAACCCAATCAAATTCGCCAATTAAGTGATCTCTCATTCTTCAACTCTGTCTCTCTCTCTCTCTCTCTCTCCCCATAAAATACAGATTACAACTCTTATCATTATTTTCCTGATTTTATTTCCTATTTTAAGGGATCACATTCTATACTGAGACATTAACTATCTCTTACACTCTTATCTTTCATGATTCTCTTTCCAAACTTAGACACACGTCTCACCAAAATTCTATCATAATGCAGCTGTTCTTCATCTTTATTGTTCATATCATACACACATCTTTACTGTACATATATATAGTACAAAAATAGAAGACATACTATATATACATGTTATATCTAGGAAAAGTTTCATCTAAACACCATATAGTTGAATCTAAATTTAATGACAACTCCTGTAACAATAACTTTTGTCTCTATCAATAGACTAAAATATCATCAATTCTTTTCCCATTATATATGTGCTAGACAACCAACAAACGTAATTTCAATCATTATATTATTCCAATAAATTTTTTTATTTTATCAAGTTTTTATAATTTTTATATTTTTTAATCATAATAATTTTTATAGTTAAAAATGGTTTTTCTATAGTAAAA